TAGAGCCCCCCCCCCCCCTTTACACCAGAACCCCTGACCCTGGGGCCATAGAATTCACAATTTTTGTAGACGCACTCTTGCTCATCATAACTATGCACTTATTTAGTTTATTTAATACCCAGAAGCAGAGAAGAAAATTTTCAAAGAATTAATGCATTTTAACTATGTTATCAATAAATCCCCACCCTAACACCAGAACCCCTGACCCTTGGGCCATAAAATTCACAATTTTGGTAGAGGCACTCTTGCTCATCATAACTATGCACTTAGTTAGTTTATTTAAGACCCAGGAGCAGAGAAGATTTTCAAAGAATTCATGAAATTTCACTATATACTTATTTAGCCCCACCCTAACACCAGAACCCCTGACCCTGGGGCCATGAATTTCACAATTTTGGTAGAGGACTCATTGCTGATTACAATCATGCAAACAGTTTGACTGCTACATGTCCAGGAGTAAAGAAGAAGATTTTTAAAGATTGCACTAATTTTAGTAGTTTTTGCCCCACCCCCCAGGCCCCAGGGGGGCAGGGCCCATGAATTTCACGATTTTTGTTCCCCTTCACCAATAGATGCTATATGCCAAATTTGGTTGAAATTGGTTCAGTGGTTTCAGAGAAGAAGCTGAAAATGTTCAAATGTTAACGCACGACGAACGACGAACGACGACGGACGAAAAGTGATAGCAATAGGTCACCTGAGTTTACTCAGGTGACCTAAAAATGAATACACAATAAAGTAAAGGATAGATTGGGAATATATATATATATATATATATATATATATATATATGAATGTCTACAAAAGAGTGTAAGGATAAAAAGATACATGCATGACAAAATGTACATGGGCCGAAATCAGATTCAGGCTTTAGCATTTATTTAAGTTATTGCGCCTTGCCCATACCAAACCTGACACTGCCAATCATCGTATTCTGAGGCTAGAGCCAATCACCAAGGGACTCAGTGTAGCCAGACCCAAACAACCAGTGGCTATAGAGTGCCGATGAGGAAACAGAAAACGCGAAAAGCCGGATTCCGAAAGACCTTTGGAATGCGGACAATGTCCTGGCCAGTCTTCATCAAGTACCCAACAACCAGGGTAATTTTGCATGCCTTCTATTGAGGAAATTGGTCGGGGAATTATTTTTAACGGGCTTTCTGGTGAATTTTTACTGGTATGGTTGAAGATCCAAGGAAATGGGAATTAAACGTCAGAAAGAAAAAAGATATATAATTCAGACTAACGTTGAAAACGATCACAACTTTCCACAGTCCAAGCTGTTCAGGAAGACCTACCCAGACAACACGTTTTGGTAGAGGACTCAATGCTGATGATACATTCTTTCTATTCTACCCTTTTTTAAGTCGTGGGTATAGTACGCAACAGATAAGTCGCAATCTATCTCCTGGGAGTGAGAGGAATACTCATATTTGGAATCTTAATGTTCAAAGTGACATCTAGTGAACCAGAAAGTATCAGTGATGTGCAATCTTGGAATCTGTTAGAAGTATTAAAACATTGGATTGACATGTATGAGATAAAGGCAAATGCTGTTGATGCCATTCTTAAGATTTTGAGAGGAAATTGTCACGCACATCTTTCGATTTCTTCACGAACATTGCTTCACCGCCAAGAAATGTTAAGCTTTTTAGAGTTTCTGACATGAATTACTACCACTTCGGTTAGAATCGATGATAATCAATATTTAAAATATACAGTAAATTCATACAGGTTGATTTTTATGATGAAGATACCTTGCATATTTTCTTAAATAATGATGGACTGCCCTGTTTGAAAGTTCCTATACCTCCGCCTAGCCAGTTCTATACATGTGATTCTGAACAATTATCTACAGTGGTTAGTAAACATAACATGTATTGAAAACAGACTTTAAAGAACTATTTTAAACGTGAGGTGAGCAATTTCGTCACAAGAGCCATGTTTTGAATGCAGATGTGAGTGAATATTTTTGTGTGGGGATTTACATGTCTAAACAGTAAGTAATGTTGAAATAATAGTGACAGAGAATCAAATAAACAAACATATGACTGAATTGAAGCGAGCTGTAGTGTTGCCTTTGTAAATAATTCTTGCTATAATCGGCCAAAGTCGGGACTCAATTTCCAGACATGAATTATGAAGAAGTGTCCAGAGATTCTGTAGGCGTCAGTCCAAATATCTAGCTACAATAAGATTGTAATTTCTCAAACAGTTTTTCAGGGTCATTCTCGTCGTTAACATTGTCCCACTTGAATTGGTCATAAATTTCTACCACGTGGGGGCCTCCACAACTGAGTATTATTACTACCTGCACTTCTTTGGCCTTCTCTAAGCCACCGGAAGCTGCGAGATACACCTCGACCTGTCTTTTCCATTTCTTATAATTTTGCTACGACTTACAGCTTTATATGTTTAGCGGCGTAACATTGTGGGGCTCCTTAATCTGAATGTTGAACGAAAGACAACAGGATATAATTTGTTTTTAATATTTTATTAGATTTTACTCAATAAACATACAAAAATACTCTTCTTTGGCTCTGCGGTCCTCACCTGAAATAAAAACAAGAAATCTGTGAGCGAATGCTCACTAAGAATACCCCCGCTCTGATGAGAATAAACACGATCATGTTAATATACACAAGATCCATTACAGATAGATGCACAGACAAACAGGAAGTTGACATCAGTTTCATATCAAAATTAATCCAAACAAATGGCATGCCTCATCATAGAGTGTACTAAAATTTCAAGCATCTGCGATGAGTAGTTGCTGAGAAAACTGCGACAAAAATTCATAATGTATGAAGCGGACAGACGCACAGACAAACAGGAAGTTGACATCCGATTTGAACCAAAATGTATCCCACTGTATGGCATGTCTCAGAGAAGATTGCGTTAAAATTTCAAGCATCTGCGATGAGTAATTGCCGAGAAAACTGCGACGAAAATTTGTTATGTATGAAACGGACAGACACACAGACAAACAGGAAGTTGACAACCAATTTGGACAAAAATGTATCCCACTGTATGGCACGTCTCAGAGAAGATTGTGTTAAAATTTCAAGCATCTGCGATGAGTAGTTCCTGAGAAAACTGCGACGAAAAAATTCATAATGTATGAAACGGACAGACGCACAGACAAACAGGAAGTTGACATCCGATTTAAAATAAAATACATCCCACCGTATGGCATGTCTCAGAGAAGATTGTGTTAAAATTTCAAGCATCTGCGATGAGTAGTTCCTGAGAAAACTGCGACGAAAAATTCATAATGTATGAAACGGACAGACGCACAAACAAACAGGGAGTTGACATCCGATTTGAACCAAAATATATCCCACCGTATGGCACGTCTCAGAGAAGATTGTGTTAAAATTTCAAGCATCTGCGATGAGTAGTTCCTGAGAAAACTGCGACGAAAAATTTGTTACGGACAGACAGACGGACAGACAGACAGACGGACAGACAGACAGACACACAAGGGTAAAACAGTATATCCCCCTCTCCTTCGGAGCGGGGGTATAACAAACCAACCACCCTTTCCAACAAATGTTAATTTATAAAACCACCCTTAAACAAACCCTTTAATAAATGCAAATAGACCTAATGTCTTTAGGTCTTGGATAAAGATTGAATTAGTGATTTCTTCACTTATCGAGTATGAATATAAAACGTCAGGTTATAGCAAACAACTAATTGTATAGGGACAAAAAGTTATGCTAATATCTCAATACAATGTGTTTAGTATTTGTTTACATTCAAAGGATGTAGCAAACTACTAATTATGCCAACAACAAAACTCAATACAATGCACCATGCATTTGTTAGTTTGTTGTCAGTAATAATGTCAGGAATTATAAATATCAAGTTCAGTTCACTTCTTGTGCAACAATAAACAATTACATTGAATGAATTCAACTTTGTGTCTGAGTAAGATGAATGAATAACGCAATCAAATGTTGCTAACAAATTCAGGTTAATAATTACCCATCATGTCAATTAGTCTCTCTGTCTAAAACAGAACCCTTGGTGATGGGGAGACTGCCTTGTTCGGAGTTGGTCCGTCAGGTAGACCTTTCCGTGGGTGAGACCGCAGGCGTCTGACCGTTAGACGCTGGGAGCTTGTATATAAAGGCTTTACACCCGTTGTGACGTCAATCACTCGATTAATGCATGAGATTTGGCGCCATAATGTCAGATGGCTGGAAAACTTCGGATACACTTATATATCATACTCATCAGAGGTGTTCCGAATGTATTTTACATCGTTTACCGCTTAGTATGAGAAGCAGAGTGTAATTGTAAGGTTTTACACTAATTATCAGTGAATGGATTTATTATTTATACAAATTATCAAAGGTAAGCACATTTAGTACTGCATAAAAGCATTTGTAGACCAGTAAATGGTTTATTTACATTCCGTATTCCTCAAAACGTGGAGGAAATTCAGTACATGGTGAACAATTTGCACCCAGATCGTAATAAATTCCAAATAGCATTAATCAATAATAACAGATAAATAAGAATAAATGTCAATACATATCATTCATTCAATCATTCATCGAATCATCATTTTAACGACTCATATCACAAGAAACATCTTGTTTACTTAATTATTCAAAACAATAGTGGAGAATGCCAAATTCGTAACACGGCCCCCTTCTCAATTTAACATTCGTCCTCGAATGTCTATAAATATAAATCATGCAACAATAAACAATCTAAATTTATGTTCATCAACAAAAACCTCAATATCTCGATCGACTAATTATTTTGAAATATTGTCTTCGGGATATCCAAGTTAAACTGTAAGTTTGCTTTATCGTTAGCAAACTTTAAACATTAATAAACATTGACAAATATCTAAAAACATATAACATTCAATCTAGTATAATGCTCAAATTTCAATAACCGTGACGCATTTGCCGTATTTTCAAAACGAAAGTAGATTTCGTGAATCTCTTTGTACGACTTATCAAAAGGTGTGACGTCAAATTAATCCTCATGCTGAGAAATGAATCGCAACCGAATCTTCACAAAGTTCGTCCAAAATACTTGGAAAAATGGACGAAATGCAACCTTCAGTGAGTAAAATTGAATACTCGTTATATATTCCATTTGATCTCGCTCTGAGCATATATATTTATGCGTTGTTTTGTAGCATTTGTGCGAAAACAACAACTGCACATTTCAAACTGACAACAATCAAAATTCTGTGAATTATAAATACGTCAAAATAATTCAATCTGTTTCATTGCTGATCCATATATTTTATAGAATTCCCATAATCTCAGGGACTCTCAACAACATGACATGTACGAAGAGAAAAATCAAAGGTAAGTAAAGGTAAGTTGAACAATATTTCACTGATGCATAGATATCAATCAATCATTGTAATAAGATTTGCTTAATGCATAGAATGCATGAAGTAAACGCATTAGATATTATAGATCAAATATTTACAAATCATCGACAGTATAAAAACTCAACATAAATAATCTCTTCTCATTTTCGCAAGAATGTTCAAGAAAACAATTAAAATTTCATGCGAAAAATCAGCAAATATCAAATATTCATATAATCTAGCAACTTCAAAACCATGTTGATTTATTCTCATCAACAGTTTCATTGTTTGTTACATTTTCAGTTTGTTTTGTAGGGATATCAAAAGGGCAGAGCAGATTTACCACAAGATCTGGTTGTAACAGAACAGTTTTCAGGTATTTTTAAGCTCTTAGCGGTGTCGTTAGGATCTAAAGTTAAACTAACAATGTAGTTTACCTCCTTGCCCATAGTCCTTGTCAGATAAAATAGGTGAACTTGTTAGTGCACGCTTTAGCTTGTCAAAAGATTTGTGACAGTCTTCATCCCAAACAAATTTATGACTTAGTTCAGTCAATTTGTGCAAGGGTTTAGCCATATCAGAAAATTTAATTGAGAAACTGCTCTGAAATTCTTTTAGCAATTCTCTTAATTTTTGCTGTTGTTCTTGATCAATATTTTTACAAGATTTCTCAAACACAGACTTCATATGTTCAGAAAAATTTTCATTTGTTTTCATTTCATGTTTTGTCAACACATGTATTGATTGGGGAGTACTTTCAATGATCCCTGAAGTATCTTCTAAATTTGCCACAACAGTCCTTTTGAAAATTTTGACACTCTTATCACCTAAGTTGTTGTATCGAACAGGTACTCTATCATTTTCGACTTTTGTCAAAATCTCGGGAACTAATACACCATGTTTATCTAAAGACTTTGCCACAGGCTTTAACAAAGTAACATTGTCATTAAATAATGGGTTTTCTACTTTAGCCAGGGCAATAAATTCACTGAGGGGGGGAATCTCTATAGTTTCCGTCAAAAATACCTTACAACATTGCTTATTCAAAGCTTCATGCGTAAAGCAAGAAACTTCTTTCCCCTTTATTCTAAGTTTCATTTTGTTCAACAGAACATCACAGTTGTGGTCTTTCATGAAATCTAAACCCAAAATACATTCGTTTTGGATATTAGCTACTAACACATTTTGATACACCGTAACATCTCCCACACATATTTTCACTAGGCATCCCCCTAGGACAGATATTTTCTCCCCACTAGCAGATGTTAAATGTACAAATGAAGGGTTCAAATCTAATTTCCCTTTTAACTCTGAACTGTCTGCAAAATCTGAGGCAATAATTGTTACACTAGCTCCTGTGTCAACCATCATTGTAGTTTGAACGTTCTCAATTTTTCCTACTACAAAAATTCCTTCACCACATCCCTTTACATCACCTACTATCTCATTTCTAGGTGCATTTTCACATTTAACAGTTTTCTCAACATCATTTTCTGATTTATTGTTCTCAATATCATTTTTTGGTTTATTGTTCATCATATTTTCATTCTCAGTTACATTAACTATCTTTTGACATGTTTGAGGACTCTTTTTAATATGCTCATTTCTTCCAGCAGGAAGAGGTCCTCTTGTATCAACTTTGTTTAACAATGAATGGGGCCTACCCCTGCGCTTTGCCGACTTCCGCCCCCTGAATTCGACACGGGAAAGTTTCCCTGATTTGAGGATTGTAAGCGACCATTTTGATATTGTCTATTTGGGTAGGTATTTCGTCTGTCAAAATTATTTGCATTGTATGGCTGCCTGTGAACTTGAAACTGATTGTTCATTTGATCACTTTGTGCACCTCGCTTGAATGAGAAAAGTAAGGTCTTGAATTAAGACCATCTTTAAGGAGTGATCGAATCTCTTTTGTAAGTGATTGGAGATCATCTCTTAAGACCCTATTTTCTTGCTTGATTGAGGCGAGGAGATTGGTATCCATTTCAGGATGTATGGCATTGACGACTTTTACCCTCTGTGCATCAGCCAGTTTGTGGGTTTCAAGTCTTATAGCCAATATCTCTGCCTCATTAATGTCTCTTTGCCTACTTTCTCTCAAGCGAAGGCGTATATCCGGATCAGGGAGTGCATCTATGAAGTGATCCAATAAAAGAACATTTGTCAAGTTAGAATCGGCAGTAGGATATGCTTGCCTAGTAAGTTTCTTGATAGATTGTGCGAGTTCAAATAAAGATTCTTTGGCACCCCTGGTTTTTGTCTTTAACTTAGCTCTGAACATTTCAGATCGTTCAACTGAACCATAACGCCTATCAAGAATCTTGACTAGGGAATCATAATCTCTGCGCTGAACTTTGTTTAGTTCACTTAAAAGTGCACGGGCCCCTCCCGCTAAACTGCTAGCTAGGTATAGTGACTTTGCCCTGTAATTCCAACCATGTAAATCGACCAAAATTTCGAATTGTGCTAGATATTCCCCAAAATCTTCTGACCCATCGAATGTAGGTGGTTTAATTGATACAATTGGTTTGGAATTGAAAGGGGAAGGAACTCTATTTTCATTGTAATTTATCTCCCCTGCAGGGGTATCTATGTGACCAATATTTTCCCCAGCCCCAATGACAGGAGACTGATCGTGAAAACCCAGGGACTCTCTACACCCATGCACTTGATATCTGATTGCATTGTCTTTGGGGGTCCCCTTTTGTTTTAACTCATCAACTTGTTCTTGTAATTGACGAGAATCTCGTCTCATGTTTGACAATTGTTCATCTATGTCTTGCCTCATGTTTAAGACTTCTTTGTTCATCATTTCTACAGCTCTTCACAAAAGTTCATTTATGTTTTCAGCCTTGTCACAGCCTGATTTCTGTATAGGAGAAGAGGTACCGGACCGTTGATACTCATCACAAGTGATGTCATCATTCAGATCACAGGACCTGCACCCATTCTCCTCAGAAGCTTCAAATTGGCTGTTTTCATTTGACATTTTGACTTTTGTTATTGGCTATTGCAACACAAACTTTATGTGTTTATATGCCAGTGTGCTTGTCGTTGTCAATAGACTTAACAAGACTTAGTCAGTACTGTGAGATCCTGATGTAGACTTTCGATTAACCAGAATATAAGGAAGACTTTATCCCACTTCTGACACCAATTGCTACGACTTACAGCTTTCTATGTTTAGCGGCGTAACATTGTGGGGCTCCTTAATCTGAATGTTGAACGAAAGACAACAGGATATAATTTGTTTTTAATATTTTATTAGATTTTACTCAATAAACATACAAAAATACTCTTCTTTGGCTCTGCGGTCCTCACCTGAAATAAAAACAAACCAACCACCCTTTCCAACAAATGTTTATTTATAAAACCACCCTTAAACAAACCCTTTAATAAATGCAAATAGACCTAATGTCTTTAGGTCTTGAATAAAGATTGAATGAGTGATTTCTTCACTTATCGAGTATGAATATAAAACGTCAGGTAATAGCAAACAACTAATTGTATAGGGACAAAAAGTTATGCTAATATCTCAATACAATGTGTTTAGCATTTGTTTACATTCAAAGGATGTAGCAAACAACTAATTGTATAGGAACAAAAAGTTATGCCAACAACAAAACTCAATACAATGCACCATGCATTTGTTAGTTTGTTGTCAGTAATAATGTCAGGAATTATAAATATCAAGTTCAATTCACTTCTTGTGCAACAATAAACAATAACATTGAATGAATTCAACTTTGTGTCTGAGTAAGATGAATGAATAACGCAATCAAATATTGCTAACAAATTCAGGTTAATAATTACCCATCATGTCAATTAGTCTCTCTGTCTAAAACAGAACCCTTGGTGATGGGGAGACTGCCTTGTTCGGAGTTGGTCCGTCATGCAGGCGTCACACTGTCCCGAAATTGACACCAGATGGCGATACGAAATTGAAATTTTGAATTTCGCACGAAGTTGGCCCCGAAATTGGTCACTAGCTAATCACCAGCCGAAGCAAGTACGATACCTACAGATGGTCACACGATGGCACCCGAAGCACACACGAAGGCTACATGAAAATGTAATTTTTTATTGAGATGTTTACCCGAAGGACACACAAAGGCAATATGATGGCAAGAAGACATCGTATTGAGAGTACGATGCGTTCGAATCAAGTCACGAAGGTGTCACGCGACCTTTCAATGGGTATAAAACCTTAGGCCGACTGTTGCTCGAACACACCTCCGGCATCAGTGTGGAGTCCTGACTTTAGTTTTAAAGTAAAGATATAAAGTTTAATGTTTTTTCCAATATCTCAATTTAAAGTCCCAATTAGGGATTTATATACTTGAATGTTTTGCTTTTTTTCCTAAGTTTAAAATTTCCAGCAATGTTAAATACATTGCCTAGAGCCATGAATAAAAACTTGAATTTTAAATCCCAAACCAAAATTCATACTAGCCTTTGTCATAAGTTACAATTTTCGAGGAAGTTAAATCTATTGGCCAAGTTCTACACTAAGTATCTTAAGTTAAGAACGCAAATAAGAGGTGGAACGGTTTTAAATTTTCATGTCGTCAGAAAAGTTAAAGTTAATTTGGTATGATTTTACATTTAGGAAACTTGGGATTTTTAAACAATCTATATGTTAGGCCTCAATTCAATTAATGAAAAAGTACTTAAAAACACAAGTTTAAAACACCGCACAAATTTATTACTCATACACATGTATGTAGTTACAATGCAAAACATGTATGTGAAAATATGTTTTCATAATCACAATGTTACTGTCTCTCTGTTCATTTTGCTGTCCCTCTTTGTCGGACATTACATGATCATCTTGTCCTGCCAAGGCACAGAACCAGCCACTGCGGTAAAGTAGTGGCCCAAGTATCTTCTAATTTGCCTCCCCTCCTGCGTTCCTTGCCTCCTCATGGTAAACATCCAAAAGTACTATGTCATTTCTCCATGCCCCTGGGATGACATCCTGGTTCTGGTCTTCCACGTCTATCAGGTTGGTGTGGGTGGCTGGATATTTAAGTCTGATGAGATTGTGAAGGATCACACAAGTTGTAATGATTTTCCTGCATGTCTCGGGTCTCTGAGTCATGGTCCCCAGCAAGATTAGGAACTTGTGTGCCAGAATACCGAAGTCATTCTCCACTACACGTCAGGCTCTTGAGAGTCTATAGTTGAATATTCTCTCGTGGTGTTCCATGTTTCTGATGGAAAACGGGTTCATAAGGCGCTTGTTGATCGCAAAAGCATTGTCCCCTACTATATAGTATGGGACAGGAACGTCATCACCAGGTAGAGACTTCTCTTCAGGGAGATTAAACATGTTGTTCGGACTCTCTAGGCCTTCCTTCAATTCTGATCCATTGTAAACACTAGCGTCGTTGCTGGAGCCATCAGACTCGACATCAATCCAAAGAAACTTGTAGTCTGCATCAACCAAGGCCATGAGGACAATACAGAAGAAACCTTTGTAGTTTCTGTACTCAGAGCCAGTATTCCATGGACAAGTGATCGCCACATGCTTGCCATCTAAAGCACCACAGCAGTGTGGAAATTGCCATCTCTTTTCAAGCTGCTCCTCAATGGCAGTCCACTCTTCAGTAGTAGTAGGACACTGGATCACCTCAGCAGCAAACTCGGCTTTGATGGCATCGCAAATTTCGTCTATGGCGAGGGAGATCGTGTTTGGAGCAACTCTGAAATTGTAGGACAGGCTTGGGTAGTTGTCTCCGCAGGCCAGGTGTCGTAGAGTGATGGCGACTTGAGACCAGGAGGAAGACACTTTCTATACCATGTGTCCTTCTTTTTTATTCTGCCTTCTACCCATTTCAGGACTTGATCGTAGAGGCCTTTGGGAAGCCTTGTATAGTTGTAGAAGGCCTTCTCATCCTCTGCTTTCAGTTCATTTAATAAAGTGGTATAGTGGCCATAGCGTTCTCTACGCTTTACAGACAGCCATTTCCTGACCCACACAGACCCCTGTTTTCTCCTTCGCCGCGGTTTCCCCGTGTTCTGGAAAATAACAAGCAAAACAAAATAGTACATTGTCAAATGCTACAAACACAAATAAATAGAAACGACAAGTTGAAATGAGACAATTTATACCTGTAAGAGGAGTTGCTGAGCCTGCAAGAGTTCCTCGTCATGTTTTCTGAGGTGCATCAAAAGAAGTAATGCTGCTGCCTTCTTTTTTCTTGTTTTTCATTATCAAAGTATGTCATTCTGCTAGAACTGAATTGTGATTCAAGTAAAGCTTTGGTTGCTGTAGACGCCTTTGCTCTGTAGATTTGCTGAATGAATGAGGAAGATGCTCTGTTACCGGCCTTTTATATATGCACGTTACAATAACACATGGGACACGCTTGAGCTATTCAAATTCGGCTGTCTTCGTCGACACCGTGGTCCCATCTCGATGTCATCGTAATATAAAACGATGTCCATACGCTGGCATTGCGAGGGCTTCACGTGGTCGTGTTGACTTCGTGAAACAATCGGTCTGGTTCTTGTTTCCTTCGCCTTGTCTTCGCGAGACGCTAAATGCCCGATGACACCGATGATCACAGGAAGTAAAGACGAAGATGACACGATTTGACAAGATGCCCTCACGATGGCCTTACGAAGGGCAAAATGGACACACGAATTTAACACCTTCGCAATGTGTTCGGCCAATTTTTTGACAGCCAAAGATTTTGCTACCACTCACGAAGTTGTTGCCGAAGTCTTAGAAACTCCACCGGCGCTCATACGATGGCTTAAGAAACCGTCACGAATGGCCAGATGTGTTTACGATCAGAGCCGAATTTAAACATTTCCTTTATCGTGTGGCCATCTTTGCTCAATTTCGGGACAGTGTGACGCCAGCATCAGGTAGACCTTTCCGTGGGTGAGACCGCAGGCGTCTGACCGTTAGACGCTGGGAGCTTGTATATAAAGGCTTTACACCCGTTGTGACGTCAATCACTCGATTAATGCATGAGATTTGGCGCCATAACGTCAGATAGCTGGAAAACTTCGGATACACTTATATATCATACTCATCAGAGGTGTTCCGAATGTAGTTTACATCTTTTACCGCTTAGTATGAAAAGCAGAGTGTAATTGTAAGGTTTTACACTAATTATCAGTGAATGGATTTATTATTTATACAGATTATCAAAGGTAAGCACATTTAGTACTGCATAAAAGCATTTGTAGACCAGTAAAGGGTTTATTTACATTCCGTATTACTCAAAACGTGGAGGAAATTCGGTACATGGTGAACAATTTGCACCCAGATCGTAATAAATTCCAAATAGCATTAATCAACAGATAAATAAGAATAAATGTCAATACAAAACATTCATTCAATCATTCATCGAATCATCATTTTAACGACTCATATCACAAGAAACATCTTGTTTACTTAATTATTCAAAACAATAGTGGAGAATGCCAAATTCGTAACAATTTTCTGACACATTTCCTGTTGTTAATTCTAACTCAGGCGGTAATCGAAAAGGACAGTTATATACCTGCACTTGGGTTGGTTCTGCTTCGCCCATGTTTCGTATATGCAAATGTGAAACAACATTCCAAAGTACCTGTTAAAATGATTTTTGTGACACGGGGTGGAAAGATGTTTTAAAAATATTAAAAACGTTTTCCGTTGATTTCTTAAGTGAAAAACACAAGTTTTGCCAAAATTTAAGAGTTATCTCTCTTTGTTTTCCCAAATAATTAATGTTTTATGAAAATTCATATAATTATCTATAATAAAATATTGAAAATTCATCGAATATATTAACTTTCAAAAATTGACTTTGAGGTAGGCGGGAGAACAATACTATCGTTCGCAGTTCTTCCGAGAAGTGATATGAACTACCATGCATGGTCTATCAAACATGTAGCTGAGAAGTTCATCCCAACAAAGACAGACAGAACCAATCAGATGTAGAGATAAATGAAATAAAAACAACAATAGGCCTTAAAAGCATCTAGAGACAACGAATATCGAAGGATAAGGGAATTGGAGGCGCAAATATACCAACAGCCTCAATCCGTGGCGCCACCCAAACAAGTTTGGGAATCAACGCCTAGAATTCCTGTCCCGCAAATGGATGATTTTGACGGCAGCAAACCGGTGTCGAAATGGTGGACGAC